GAAGGCGCTTGAACCAAATCCGCGCCAACGCCATGACATGCCATGATTGAATCGATCGGCCTTGGGAACAGCAGCGGGGCGGCGACCATCAGGTCGTTTGCGCGCCTCGCACTCGTCGCACTTAAAGTATGCGAATACCCAGCGTGCTCCTTCAGCCATAGCATTGCCCCGTCTCAGAAGTCTGGCGAAATCTCAATTCCCAGGGTGGCCAGAGTTATCGCGGGCAAGTTTGAGATCGGTCAGCTGGCTGGCCCGCCGTAGCTCCCCGTCGGGCTGCGCTGGTACTTCATCATCGCTATCAGGTTCGGCGCCGAGATCATCGACGGGAATCTCTTCGGGCCCATCTTCTTCAGGAGCGGCTTCCAAAAGGGGGCTGAGACTGGCATTGTGCACTGAGGGTGCCTGCTTGACCCGTTTAACCTGCTGATGAAAAATCGCGCCCATGCCGTCCTCATCGAGCTCCGAAGATGAAGCGGAGGCCCCGCGGGTGGTCTGCCACAAAATCAGCCGCCATCCTCCTTCGCGAGCCTCGGCCGCCCCAACCGCGCCCCGCGAGGTGGCAGGCTGCCGCGAGACCACCCGGGGCAACTCGAAGCATAGCCGCGTGCTTACCAAATACTGGACCAGTCAGGCTCGCGCCGGCAGCATCTGGAGAGATAAGTTGCCCAACCTGGCTGAGACAGGTGCTCCGAGGACAACTGCTCGCCAGAGTGCCAGCTAACATCGTGTAAGTGATTAGCCATTCGCGGTGAAAGAGAGCGCGGCCAGCCCAAATCTTGGCCGAGGTGCGGTCGCAAGAAGGTGCAGACCAAGCGCCCCGAATGAAGGGTGGGCTCTGGTAAATTCATCTGCAGAAAATGGGCCGGCGGAGCCGGCTGGGAAAAGAAGCTCGTCGCAGAACTCGCGATGCACTCGGACTTGCGCCTGGCGACCATTGCAGACATCTTCGGCCAGCGAATCCGTCGGACGTCGGTCTCCTCCGCGACCGTCTCGAAACCGCCCCCGCCCACGATGTTCTCACGCATCTCGCGATCGGCCGCGCGCGTTGCCAGGCGTCTGAGTCCTTGATGGGCCCCTGGTTCTCCTGACTCGCGAGTCTTCATGCCCCGCTCGCAGTGCTGAAAATCCATCTCGGAGAACTCCACGCGGGCGCGGCCCGCGCGCATCCCGGGCGTCGCCCGTTCCTGGTTGCACGGCGCGCCCGTGCGCATGATGCCCTCGACCGGGGACCTCGCCCAGGGCATCTGGCAATCGCCGCGCGTCCACCAGAAGGTCCTGGCGTTTCCCCGGTGGCGCATGGACTTCTCGGGGCGCGCGCGCAGCCTGCTCGGTCGTCTCGGCGCCCGCGCCGCCTGGCTCCGGCCCCTTGCCCACTGCGAACCACCCCCCGCCCGAGACCTTCAGAACTCGAGAGAAAGGTCGGCGGTTGCGGGTCAGAGGTGTGGATGGTGTAGCTTCGCCGTCCAGAACCCCCGGCGTCCCCGAGCAGGTTCTAGAAAGCTAGGAAGCGTTCGCGCCGATGCGGGCCTCCGCGCGGCGCTTCATGGCCGCGTGGTCCAATAATGGGGAGTAGCTTCAGGCGCGGCTGTTTCAATTTCCACGACCATCTGTGGTCATCGCGGCATGGCTGGATCGGCAGGCGCTCGGAAGTTCCGGCTGCGGCCCCTCCGTGGAGAGGGCGCGCCCCGCGCGGTTCAACGTCGCGCGAGATGTCCGGAGAAGAGGCAGTTGGCTGAGGAAAAACTGGTTTGAGCCGAGGGCGCCTGCGGATTCATGAGAATGCGGCATTCGCGGGCTCGATGGCCCGGCGGCGCCCCTGAGCCTTCGGAGAGACTCGTCTATCTTCTTGTTTCTCCGCCAAACTTCGCGGGGAAAATGAAACGCGATGTGTTTGCCTGCACCTACCTCGCGCGCCCTCGATTGGCCGCCGCCGGGCCCCCCCCGGGTGATGGCGCCGCCCGGCGAGTCGAGAATCGCGCCAACGTCTGAGCGCAATAAAGGCACGTCACGGGCAATCAGATGCACCGCGAGGGCGCCGCATTTCTTTGCCCCGCAACAGGCAGGGCCCAGCTGGAGAAAAACTTGGGAGATCTCCAAGCGCCCATGGCGTCAAGTTCAAGGGTTGGTAACTGTGCTGGCTTCAAACCGTAGGCATCTCCAAGATATCTCACCATTTTATCAAACGGATATTTGCCAAGGACTCCATGCTGAACTCCGGCGCCCACCGAGCCGGAACCCATCTGAACCTGAAGTCCGATGACAACCTGCCCACCTGCATCGACACTGGGGAAAAACAGAAAGGCATAATAACTGATTCCACACTGGATCGTGGGTTCCCGCTGGCGGACGTCATGCAGAGCATCATCTGCGTCAAAGGAGACAGCCTGGAAACCGCCGAAGCCTGCTTGCCGCTTGCGTCCTCGCTCGTCTGGCTCGTTCGCACAGTCCCGAGCCCAGTGTCCCATGTTCGCGCGTCGGGCACGCTTCGAGCGACTCGTCAGTTTACGTTGGACCCCCCGCTTCGGTCGGACATGTCCAATTCGTTTCCCTCGACGCTTTCCCTGCCGGGAGCCTTTGGATCATTTTTTTCTTTTGTTTGGGGGGGGGGCCGTTCGGAAAAGCCTCGTCCAAATTTTCGTGCGTAGATGCTGTCGCACCTGACTGTAGTTGGCGTAGATGGTGACAACCTTGTCCTCCCCAAGAGTCACATCCTCGGGCATGTCCCCAACTACGAAGAATGCGTCATCGTCGTCCATGAACTTGAAGGCCTCAATCAGGATCCCGTCCTCCTCATAGGACCCGGGCAAGGTAAACAAAGACTGTTCCATGATAACCCACTGAAGTCATTGTGATCAGACTCCTGGTCCTCGCGTCCGTCTTCGTCTCCCCTGCCGGAAGGTAGTGGTCGGTCCAGCTTCCGAAGCTTCTCGCGCACCAAACCCCTTAGTCCAGTGCTCATACATAACCCAAACAGCTTCACTGAGCTTGAAATCTCTAAGACGCACGTGCCCTTTCAATTCCCGAAGCAAGATCATGTGCTTCTAGGGTCCTTGGAAAAGCATTCGCTTGCGAGCGGTGTAATTGACCAGGGATTCATCTCGCTTGCGCTTGGTGTCGTCCGGGTAGGGAAACCTTTCAAAAGCCTTCGGCATCGTGCGGTCTTGGTGCTAAAGCCATCCTCATATGATCGATCGAAACCTGCCCGCTGCCCTCCGAGGACAGGTCTTCCTCGGTGAACTCGTTGATAATGATATTTAGGTCATCTTTGGCGTAGCGGTAGATAACGTACGCGCGTCGTGCTTTCAGGGTTCTGGTGGTATCGGGCCACGTCTGCAGTTCCTTGATGTAAGGCTCTCAACGAATATCAAGATCTTTCCCATCCCAAGTGGGGCGTAGATCATTTGGTATCCTCGGGGCCTCTGATTGTTCAGGAAATTGCCCCCCTCTGGCAATCAGACGATCTGGCAGTGGTATCTCCCCAATGAATCTGATTAGAATGGGTTACGGGCATAGCCAGTCTTCGCAAAGCCGTGTTCTGCCGATCTGGTGCAACCGACGAACTGCGACCCCGCGCGTTCCAACCGAATGAAAATGATTGCGAATTGGGCTGTGTCTCCGCCCAAGGCTGTGAGAACCAGCGGGCCCAGTCTTGTTCTGACCAGCCCACCTCGTCATCACCTTCCCAAGGAACATCTTCTCGTCCTCCGCCTCCTGCCCAAGGATTTACTGGAATTGCATGCTCTTGAAGCTGAGCGTCGTCTGGGAAATAATCCATGGCGGCGCTCGGCGCCAGAGAGTGGGAAACGGGAAAAACAAGAGAAGACTGTGGAATCTGTCGCCCGAAAATCGAGTGACAAGGAGGGTCTGACTCCGCTCGTAGATCCCAGCCACAGGCTCCGCTGCCAATGTGGAGTGTACGGGAGTAGCTGTGTGGAATACAGAGAGACACGAAGTACAAATAGGGGGGGCGTGCTATATGAGAGCACGTTCTCTTTCCTTTTACGGGGGCTGGGCCGCGCCCGTCGCCTGCGCGCTAAGTGACTCAAGGGCCCTTGGGAACCACAACGGCGGCACACAAGGGAGTACAGAGAGAGGCGCAGGAGGAGGAGAAGCTGACATGGGCATGACAACCACACGCATGTTTAGACGGATGTGGAAGCAAGGTCTCTTCTCACATCGCTTGAAGCGCAAATGCAATCATCAAAGCTTCGGCCCAAACGGCTCCCGATATGGACCTGCATGCGCACGTGCACGTGCTTGCACAAGGGTGGGCCCGTGCGGACGCTACTGGGCCGAGACCCGTGCGTGTGTTGCTAAATGAAGGTGCGGCTTATTTTCTCCGAGCAGGGCCAGACGATTTTAGCCCACAGCCCCTGAGGAGGAGGAGGACGAAGAGGAAGAGTAGGAGGAAGAGGGTCTGACGCTACGGGTGCTCGTGCTAAGCGGCCTGTCCGAGAGAAAGAAATTTGGACGCTGGGAATGAATATGGACAAACTGGGTACGACGCCCAGCAGCAGATGCTGTCCAAAACGGGCAGCGGCCGCTGTCGGGCAGGCGAGGCTGTGCTTCAAGTGAACCACAACCACAACTGACGCGACGTCGACATCGAATCCTGCACAGGATGAGCGGCACCTGCTGTTGGGCTCTGTACCGGGCGGGTGGTACTGGGGGGATGGCGTGCTGGGGGGTGAGGAACGAGGGCCCGAAAGTGGCCCTTCAGGGCCCTTTCGGAGCCAGCAAGGGCCCAACAAGGGCCCTGCAGGGCCACTTTGGGGCCTTGCTCTTCGACCCCAGTTCAGGTCACCCCCCATTACCACCCGCCTGGTACAGAGCCCAACAGCAGGTGCCGTTCATCCTGAGCAGGGTTCGCTGTCGACGTCGCGTCGGTTGCGGTTCATTTGAAGCACCAGCTCGCCTGCCCCACCGTACCCAGCATTTCCGTACCAATTCCGGCCCCTCCAGCGGGAGGGTCGGGAGGGCCGCGCCGACCACCAGCCCGCCTCCGCCCGCAGCTCGTCGCCCCCCAGCGCGTCGGGCGACGGCGGCCGTTCCCGCGCCTCCCCGGCCGCGGCCGCCCTGCCCGCGTCGTACGCCCGCAGCAACAGCGCCAAGAGCTCGCGGTCCTCCTGGGGGGCCTCGCCGAGCTGCGGGCACTCGATGCCTCAGGCGGGGACGGGGGGGGGGCGGGCGGAGGGGGGCGGGGCAGGGGAGGAGGGAGGAGGAAGAGGCTCAGGAAGAGGATGACTGACTCTGCAAGCCAGCGCTCCCAAGGCATGCCCAAGAAAAGAATGCAGAGGACGAGGAGGAGAACGAAGAGGGCGGAAGAAGGAGGGCGGAGGACGAAGAGAAGAAAACAGGGAGGAGGAGGAATGATCATAAGAAGAAGAAGAAAACAAATAAGAATAATAGCAAGAACAAGACAAGCAGGAAAAGGCGGAGGAGGCAACGACCTGGGGTGGAGGACAAGGCCGCGCTCACCCCCTCTGATCCTGATTGGTCCTTCTCGCCATCGCACTCAACTTTCCGCTCCTTCTCGCTGTCACCATCGTCATCACCATACATGCCCGTCGTCGGTATCGCCATCCGTCCCGCCCGCTCCTTCTCCCCCACCACTCCAAACTTTCCCCGCACTTCCACATTATGTCCCCTGAATCCGTGAGGAAGATAGCTGGGGCTCTCGCCGCGCATTCTCAATCACAGGATTTCGCAAGTATTGTGAATTATAATGTTGTGCACGATCCAACTGCGTTCGGAGTTAAAAACAATCGTGCTCCCGCTGCAGGGCGGGCCTCATTAGAAGATTGGCGCTTTGATCCCGTCTCTGAGAATGGCGCTGTCGCCCAAGCTCGGGCAACATTGCTGGATCAGAGTCCTTGGTCATCGTTGTCGCCCCGCTCCCTCACCCTCCCTGGCCTTCCCCTGGTCATCATGCTCTCCCCCTCCGCTCCTGTCGCCGCTGTTCCTCCTCGTCGTCCTCCTTCACCCTCCTCCTCTTTCGCCTGCTCATCCTCCACATCTTACTCGAATCGACGCCACTCTCTCCTTTCCGATTGCAACACGCAAGGGTCATTTGGGGGATTCAGGGTTCGCTATGACACCCGCCGGCGGATAGAGAATAGCATCAACGCAGTGGGAAGGGATGGGTGAGAGGGGTAGGACGTCAGATATGGCGCGAGCGCAATCAGCTTGTCTTCTACCCCTCCTCTACGCCTCGCGCTCCCCTGGACGCGCCTCCTCCCCACCTCATCCCCCTCCTCATCCTCCACCGCCCTCGGGGTGGTGGGAGGGGAGGGAGGAGCAATCGGTTGACAAGGGAGGCCCCTGAATCAGGTCCCCGTGCCCCAGGACACTCGGAGCTGGGACACCCGGCGTCCCGCAAAACGTCGGGGGAAACGTCGACCGCACGATCGCGGAAACAACGCCCGGAGCCCCGTCAAGATCAATTTCAACGCCGGGAAAGACAATTGCGCTCGCGGGCAAGACCGCGCCCGAGGCACAAAGTGCACACCCCGTAAAACGGGATGCAATGCAACCCAGGACAGTCGCCAGTCGCACTGACAGCCGCAACGCATCTCGCGAAGCGGGATGCAGTGCGACTAAAGCAGCAACAACCCTGCACGACCCTTGGGCGAAGGACGTCCAGGCAGCCAGAACTTCACCGCCGAGGGCACGCTTCAGCCCATGTGGCAGCCGCACCGCTCCCGCCCGTCCGACTGTGCAATCAGAACTCCCAACAGCCCTTTGGGGCGTGAAAGGTCTCGCGAGATCGTCCTTCGGGGCCGTGCCCACCACTGCGTCTTTATTTTCAGAGCCACGCCCTTGCGGCAGAACCCCCTGAACAAACTGCGCACTCTGCACAGGAGGGGTCCAGGATAGGCCTCCGATTTCGGGGGCCTGGGCTCCTGCACTTGACGTTCAAGCGGAACATCTGGAGCACTCAGATACAGGACGTTTGCGCCCTAACCCTAACCAGGGTCACTGCCAACGCCACCCCTTCCACCCCTGCCAAACATTGCAATCCAATGTGCACGGAGCGGCAACGTCTGCATAATGTTTGGGCGCCCCGTGATCTCGGCGCATGTGCTTTTTCGAAAGGGGGGCGGGGCAGGCCAACCCTCCACAGAAGAAAAAACAAAACATGCAAAGTGAAAGTTGCGGCACAACCTTGGAACATGCGCAGACGCCCCATGATCATGTTGCGTTGTTGTCCGGCAGGGGTGGTGGGGGTTCGCGCATCTTGTGTGGAGCGCGTGGGCCCACCGTCCTTCCCGACATGCTGATCACCCCGCCGCCACTTCGCAACTGTTTTTGACAAGGGCGGCGGAAGGTCGACATGCTCCCCGATGCGTGCTGTGACCTGCGCTGGCGCGCCTGACACTCTCTGCGAGCGCCGCGCACGTGACGCATCTGGTGCACCAAGCGCGCCTGGTACGCTCGGGTACCTGGGGCGCCTGGCTCACCTGATGCGGTAGTCGCACCTGGCACTCGCAGAGCACCTCG